TCCAAATGATTCCTCAAACTGGCGAGTCGTACGACAAAACGATTGCTCAGTTAAAAAAAAGCCAGTATCAGGAACCAATACGAATAATCACGCAAATGATTAANCAAACTATAAAGTAGGCTAGTAGAACTTTTGTGCCAAGAAACAAGCGCCAAACAAGAATTCAAAAGAGAACCACAACAAGGTAGTTCAAATCAATCCCAGTCTCCACAAATCCTTGACCAGTCAACGTCACCAGGCAATGTTAGGATACTGGAACATAGGTTGTTCGGAAATGAACTTCGAGTACCCATTTTCTATGGTAACCCCTCGACGTTTAACTCGTTTTGGGAATTATTTGAAGAATCGGTACACAAGCAGCCATATTCAAGCGTCGAAAAGTTGTCAATCCTCATCAACTGCCGCAAAGGAGACGCAGCAAGAACGCTCCAAATGATTCCTCAAACTGGCGAGTCGTACGACAAAGCGATTGCTCAATTAAAAAGCCAGTATCAGGAACCAATACGAATAATCACGCAAATGATTAAGAAACTGAAATCAATGAAACAATGCCCCAATGACTACCGCTCCTTAAGGAACAATCTCAATGACATCCAGGCCATGTTAGCCACCCTGGAAAAACAAGGAGAAATCGTCAACACCACTAACATGAGAACCATGGTCTTGGAGACGTTTTCAAAGGAAATCCAAGACGAAATGGCGAAAAAGGAATTCGATTCTGGTAGCCTGTGGAGCATGACAAATCTACTGGATAATCTGTCTACAGCTATCAGACGTAAAGAACACGTCGACAATAGAAGAGACCCAGTTCAGGGAGAACCCCAAATCTTTTCGATTAATGTCACGGTGGTATCCAACCTGTGATGCACTGGGTGTGGCCAGCAGCATAAATTCCATTATTGTAACAAGTACTCAAGTATCACTCTAAAGATAGCACGCTTACGCGAACTACACGCATGTCGGAAGTGTTTCAGCCCTAAACACCAAACAAAGTTTTGTAGAAAACAGAACTGAAGACAATGCGAACGTCCCCATAACCCCTTACTTTGCCGTCAGATACAACAAGAACTCAAAGGAAGAATCTGGGATAGCAATCACAAAAGATTCCACTCCCTGTATCCAACACAACAGAAATACTGGCCTGGCAGCACACGTCAAAAGGGTTATTCTCCAAGAAGACCAGTCCAGAGCAGAAGTTACTCGCCCAACAATAG